AGAATTGATGGTATGACATGCCAATCCTGTGTCAACACTATTGAAGGAAAAATAGGCAAAATTCACGGTGTCCAGAAAATTAAAGTATCTCTTACAAACCAAGAAGCTGTTATTGTATATCTGACTCCCTACATTGAACCAGAGGTTCTCAGAAGTTGTATTGATGGCATGGGATTTACTGCTTCTTTTAAGGGCAAATCAGATTCCTCAAACCTTGGAAAAATTGACATTAAACATCTGCAGGATAATTCTTCCCAACTTAATCTACAGGTTCCCGACACCTGTCCCCCGGAAAACTATGAAACTATGACTCTTGCAATTGAGGGCATGCACTGTAAATCTTGTGTTCACAATATTGAAGGAAACATATTGGACCTTGATGGAGTATTAAGTATCAAGGTTTCTCTTGAGGACAAAAATGGAATTGTGTGTTATAAACAAAATGTTATTACCTTGGCTGCCTTAAAGGAAGCTATTGAAGCACTTCCTCCTGGTAAATTTAAGGTTACACTGCCAGTAGGAGTAGAACAGAGGCTTGTATCAAAAAGTAAATCTAACTTTGGACCATCAACTAAATGCCAACGAATGATCGCAAACACTGCATTGATAAGCATTGGTGGAATGACATGTGGGTCATGTGTCTCAACAATCGAAAACATGATCACACAGAGGAAAGGAATATACAATATATCTGTTTCTTTAGATAAAGCAATTGGGAAAGTCCATTACAATCCATCTGAAACAAATGCAGAGGAAATACGTGCTGCTATTGAAGACATGGGATTTGATTCTACACTAGTTTCTGGTACGTTTTACAGGGCTTAATAATTCAACATTTTAAAAAATATTTTTCCTTTTTTTTTACATATATACTTGTATTCCTGAGTATACATAAAATTGCCATCCTTGTGATTGATTAAAAACATGATTGCCATATAGAATGTGCATGACTGTGCTGGGCAGGTTATTCTCCAAAAACACCGCTGTACATCATATCATGAGCTAGGTTTCTATGAATATGTAGTTCACTTGCTTGCTTTATACAGTCAGAAGGTAACCATTTAACTACAACCCCCTGGATTCCCTTCTCACTGTATAAAATGCACAGCATGGGGATTTGACTATAATGTAGAATCTTCAGATGTGAGCATAGTTTAGATTTTTTAAAATATATTGTTAAGAAGTTCTCCAACCACCATAACCACTAATCACGGTAAGAACCTGGGTCCTGCCAGGTGACCACCACCATCTTCCTTGCTGCCTTGAACTTCCATTTAGCTCTACTAAGTAAACTCAGCCTGCAAGGCTGACAAGACTGAGCTTAGTGGTAGGGCTTCTGGCAACAGGGGAGGTAGTGGTTGGCCCCCTGCCAGGACCCAGGTAGGACATGTTCAAACTGTTCTTAAAAACCTTGACTATTTACTCTTGGAGGGCACCAGGGCACTCCGGACACCATAAGTGCGGCATGGATGTAGTGGATATGGTGCTTGTAATATTCCTTTGATTTAGCATTTGAGCAATAAATTTAACATACCTACCAACATTTCACATGGGCAAATAGGGATATTTTCATTGTAGGGGTGTGAATGAGGGTGTGATCAGATGTGGGTTGTTCTTTAAAAACTTAGGTGACTTGCTAATAAAAATGTATGTAACTAAAATGTGCTTTAGAACAAGAACTACACATTTATTGCTATTTAAAGACATATTACTAATACGCAGACACAACAATAATATGGAGCTCCTAGAATAGAGAGACCTTAAAATAGAAAAGATAGACAAATGGGTGTAGGCCCAAAATAATGAATGTCCCTCCTAAATAGGGACAGTTGGGAGGTGTGATTTAAAATAACGGGTCAATTCCAACCTGTAATGTCTTTTTACAGTTGGAGGCATGATTGCTGCAATGATGTTTTTTTTGTAATAGACAACCCTATTTATTTCTTTTTTCTAATCCCATGATGTCATTAAGGCATTTCATTCTTTTCTGTGATCACACTAACCTTTAGCAGACTGAATTTCACTGTTCTGTAATGCAATGTGTCTTCTCCGTGAGAATGGCAAGAGGAAGTGATGCCACATAGTTTAGGACGAAGGAAGAGTATGGATTTGATAAAGTTTAGTATATGTGATGCAAATTATCCTGTTTCTTTATATAACTCTGATGCACAAAGTAATTTTGGATATTGCAGATACCTTATCATCAAGCAGCTGTCACCAGACCTCCTACAGAACACTTCAAACCAATCCGATTCCCCCTAAAACTGAACGCAAAACAGATTCTACCAGTGACTATATTTTGGATGTTCTTCCCAAAAAATCTCACGCAGATGTTTCAGCCGTGGACAGTGACACTCCACCCCAGAAGTGCTTTATACAGATCACTGGAATGACTTGTGCTTCCTGTGTGTCTAACATTGAGAGGAATCTGCAGCGCAAACATGGTGAGTCGATCAGCTGCCTCAATTAGTCTCAAAACAGGGAATAAATAAAAATGAAACTTTATTATGGGAAAATGCCATAGAGGGATCATTTATACATCAACATAAACCAAACATCAACATAAGACCAAAAGTATGTCACTGTAATTTCTTCATCCTTAAAGGGTTACTCCAAACACTATCACCACTAAAGTGATTGAAAGTGGTCATCATGCTTGGAGTCGGTATGTGCAGCATTTCACTGCCAGAGGTAGTGTAACTTGACCTATGGTACCATCATTGGGGCCTCATTGACCTAATGTCCCAGGCTGACTAATTTCATATTCAATTTTTGGCATCAGTACTAACGGCATGCTGGCAATAGATGTCCAACAGAGCACCCCTCTTGATTCCACCCATGTCCTCCCCTTGGCCTGCACTTCTTGACATCCCAACCTCTGCCTCTTAACTAGAAAGATACTGAAGTCACACCTGGCACTGTCACTTTTTGAAGTTCCTTCGACAGCGGTATGCAACCTTCGGCACTTCAGATGTTGTAGGCTACATCTCCCATGATGCTCTTACAGCCATATTGCTGGCACAGCATCAGGCAGTGGCGTACACAAGATCCATAGGGGCCCCGGTGCAAAAATTGATCCATGGCCCCCCCAGCGTACTTACTCTGCGCGGACCGGTGCCGCTACAGATGGCGGCGGGCACCTGGTTGTAGGGCTGCCAGTGCATGCAGATACACTGAAAGGACCGCTATAGGCCCTCAGATCACCTCAGCTCAATGAAGTGGTCTGGGTGCCAGGTCCCTCTAGTTTTAACCCTGCACTCCCCTGAGTGCTCTCTGTCCGGCTCCCTCGCGCTGCTTACTGATGCCGGAGCCGGAATATGACGGCAAATTGAAGCCACTGCCAGTCATGGGGGGCCCTGAGGTGGCCAGCTCCTGGGCCCCCCAGGAGAACAGGCTGGCAAAATGTGGCCACACTGCTACTGGCATGCATACGGGTCGCAGAGCGACCCCGGTATATACGCCACTGGCATCAGGGGACATGTAGCCTACAAGATCTGGAGTGCTGAAGGTTTCATACCCATGTCATACCAATGTCTTATGAATTACCAAGTAAAGCAACTGCAGAATCTCTGCCATACATAATGTTATCAGACATACTTATCTGTTGTCTCCTATAAATTTATAATGACCAGTGCAGGAGCTCGGGCCCTAATTCTCAAGGTACCTGACAGTATGGCTAGGTTCTCTGTCAAAGTGCTTTTAAAGTAGCTCTTTTATCTCAAACTTACCTTTCTCCTACTGTTACGCTTCTCTTCCTCTTTTGGGATCTGTTATTTTTTCTTTATTTCTGATCTATTTCTCTTTCAAACAAAAGACAAAGTAGGGACTACTTTGTATTATTTATTTTTCCCAAGCTTGACAATCTTGACAAAGAGTGGAGCTTAAGGCAAACTTTTTTGTTAGCTTGAGAAAGGAAGTGGAGCTCCCCTTAAAGGACCACTATAGGCACCCAGACCACTTCAGCTTAATGAAGTGGTCTGGGTGCCAGGTCCATCTAGGGTTAACCCTGCCTGCTGTAAACATAGCAGTTTCAGAGAAACTGCTATGTTTATAATAGGGTTAATCCAGCCTCTAGTGGCTGTCTCATTGACAGCCGCTAGAGGCGCTTCGGCGCTTCTCACTGTGATTTTCACAGTGAGAAGACTCCAGCGTCCATAGAAAAGCATTGCGAATGCTTTCCTATGTGACTGGCTGAATGCGCACGCGGCTCTTGCCGCGCATTCAGCCTATGACGTCAGAAGAGGGAGGAGAGTCCCTTGAGGGAGCCCGGCGCTGGAAAAGGTAGGAATTTAATTTCTTCCTCCCCCTAGACCCTGGCGGCAGGGGGGCCCAGAGGGTAAGGGGGACCCAAGGACCCTATAGAGCCAGGAAAACGAGTATGTTTTCCTGGCACTATAGTGGTCCTTTAAACTCCACCCGTTGTCAAGTGTAGGAACAATACATAAGACAAAGTAGCAATTTGTTTTATGTTTTAAAGAGAAATTAAGAAATTATTAAGAGATTCTGAAAAAAGGAAGAGAAGAGGAAACAATAGGAGAACGGTAAGTTTGAGGTGTCAGAGCCACTTTAATGTACTTTTCGTCTCTCTTTCTCTGTGTCCCTTCTATAGGTATCATTTCGGTGCTAGTGGCATTGATGGCAGGTAAAGCGGAAGTCAGGTACAAGCCAGACAAAATTCAACCACATGAAATAGCACAACTAATAGACAACCTTGGATTTGGTGCCACTGTGATGGAAGATAGCATGGCTACGGACGGCAGTGTAGAGCTGATTGTGAGTATGAAGGTTTGAACATTCCATGTTGTCCAACATGCCTTACTTTATACAGTGAAGATGATACACATATATAACTAAACACACCTATACTTTCTCAAGAGAACTGACTGACTTTTTTTTAAGGAAAGTGTTGAGCTTGCAGTTGTCTGTAATAAGAGATAAAAAAAGCATAGTTTATATTTTAATTTCAAGCATTAAAAAAAATATGTGCACTGCACTTTCTTATTTGATTTGGAAATTTAAAGCAATACAGTTTTCATGCTAATGGCGTTCAGGCCTATCAAACTGGATCTAATCCCCAATCATGAAAAAAGCCACAGCTAGGGCATCTTTGACATTCTTACATTTATGCTATTTAAAACAGTAGAGCAATAGGAAATCAAATATCTGTTTTTATTGTTATATTTCCCGTTTATATTGAACTATCAAACATTGTATTCTATACTGCTATTTGCTAATCATTACTTTTCTGAATAGCGATCAGTGCAAGGAGCTCTCCCAGCTCCATCCAGGAGAGATGGGAGGGCATAGGAGTCTTGGTCACTTCATCATATAAGCATATCATCTGCTTCTCCAGAGAGTTATTCCTTTGCATACATCACAGCCATTGCATTGCAGATTCTAACTTAAACAGCTATTTTCCTTTCTTCTGTATAACTATTACCAATTCTGGCAGGATTGCCAAGCTGAACCTCTCTAGCTGGTACCAAATATTTAATTAACATTTTCCTGGGCAGTCTCTGAACCTAATGTTTTTCTAGAAGACTTATTAATGCACCAATCATTAAAAAGGTTTAATGTTTTGTATTGTAAGGTTTAATTTAATCGTTTTCCTGAATTTTCTGAATACTTAACTCGCTTCAAAGCTAATAAAATCTAACTTATACATAAAGATTGCAGGAATGACCTGCGCGTCATGTGTTCACAATATTGAATCCAGACTGAAGAGGATAACAGGCATTTTGCATGCCTCTGTCACTCTTGCTACTTCAAAAGCCAAAGTCGAGTTTGAATCAGACATTATCGGCCCACGAGACATCATCCAAGTTATTGAGGTATGAAAAATTAGATTTACATTTGTCATACGTCCTGGCCACCAGGTTGCTGATAAGCAAACCATGTTGTAAACCTGTTATAAACTATTATTATTGTTTTTACTATTGTTCACATTTATGGAGCACCAACTCATTCCGTATTGTCTTACAATTATACAATGAGGATATATAACAGCAAATGAAGACAGACTAAATACATGTTGTCAGATAAAAGAAATGAAAGGGGCTTTGCTCAAATCAGCTTACAGTAGAAGAGAAGATGGGAGAAAAAAAAAAGAGAAGAGACAGAAGAACATGTCCGAGGGCAGGAGAGGTTGGTAGGTAGAAGATGACTGTAGTGGAGTGAGGGATGTGTGGAGGGACAACAGGACTGTTGAAACAAGAGAAATTACTCAGGAAGGTAAACTGTCTGATAGAGATGAGTTTTAAGGGTCATAAAACTTAAAGGGTCTTAAACGGCCAGAGGGCAGGACAATGTGTGATCGGACGAGGTAGGCCCTCGAGAAATCTTGTAAGATCTAGTAAGAATTAGCAATGTGGAAATAAACAGAGGACTGAATACGTTCGCTAACAGAACATAAATGGAGTTTATTTGGGAATTAAAGTGGAAACATAATGGAGGGTGTAATTGTTGAGGGCTTTGAATTTTAGTGTAACCAGTTTAAAATGGATCCAAAAGGGTACGGGAAACCAGGGCATGGACAGGCAAAGGGGTGGGTGTAAGAGTAGCAGTGAGTGAGGATAAGTCTTGAGGGACCATTTTATAATATAGATTGTAGTGGGGCTATGTGAGCATTGGGAAAAGCCAATGAGGCGCTAGTTGCAGTAGTCAAGATGTTAAATGATAGGTGGGACACCAGTTGGTGTTTCTCTACTATTAGCAATATTGGGGGTGCCAGCAAATGAGTCTGGCCACATTCCTAAATTAGCCTATAAGATCTTAGCTGCAGCTTGATAGTGTATATTACACCATTGTATTAATTATCATTGCTTCATACAAAAGTTTCCTTTTTTTTAAAATTTTAAATGAATTGGATTGAAGCCTCATTAAACAAAAAGTACTTTGGAAAAAAATAATTATTGCTTGGCAGCCATATGTTCACTCTTTAGATAGGTCTATCTAGTTGAAAATCAAATCTACTTTTGAATTCTCAGACTGGTATCTAGAGTATCTAGGCAGATCCCCCATAGTATCAACAAAACCAATCTCTTAATGCAGGGGCATGATCTATACACTAAAACCGCTTCATTAAGCTAAACTTGTTCTGATGCTTATATTATCCCTTTAACTGACCAGCTGCAACATTGAGGACTCGTTCGTACCATGATATCCCTTTTTCTCATCTTTGAATTGTGATAAAACAATTACAGACAATAGTGTTGTCAATGCTGCGTGTTATAGTCAAAGCATTGGTACTTTAATTGCTTTAAAGTAATGTTGTTTCCATGTCTGTAGTCTCAATGTTATTATTACTTAGTGGTACTAATTTTATTGATCTGAGAAATATGGAATGTGAATTGACCTTGCTGGGAATCAAACTTGACATTCTGATATACTACAATTGGAGCACTAACAATTATACAGCAATATCTTATATTCTCACATTGACAGGACATTGGATTCCATGCTTCTTTGGCCAAAAGAGACTCAGCTGCACATAATCTGGACCACAAAGCCGAAATTAAACAGTAAGCAAAGTATAACCTTACGACATATAAAAAAGTAAAATGTACCTGCCATACAAAATTACTTGGTATCATTTTACTGAATTTAAATACATTGTCTAAATTGTGCTTGATAATTTTTTAACAAATTCGTAGAATATACTGATTTGGAGAATTTTTCCAGCCAGGCATTGTTTGCAAAAATGCTGCAGTTTACAATTTGCTACTTAATGAATAAACATTTTATATGTTTTCCTTTTTAACCCCTTAAGGACACATGACGGAAATATTCCTTTATGATTCCCTTTTATTCCAGAAGCTGTGTTCTTAAGGGGTTAAAGGGTTACTCCAAGCATCATATCCACTACAGCTCACTGTACTGGTTATGGTGCTAGGACTACACTGGCACTGTTCCCCAGTAACAGGGTAAACCATTTAAAAGTGGTTTACCCTTTCATCTGTTTTCTGGTGGTCACCAAGCCTCCTGTCATGCAGGGTGGTATGTATCTGGCTTCCGCAACTTTTATTGCGATCCTGCCGGTCTCAACCAATGAATGAACTTCTGTGCAAAGAATGTTCATAGAATTTACATTAGCCAGGATAGAACTCTTGTTCCGGGCTGCCATGGGCTGTCGTGGGTGGAGTCAACACAATTTTTCATTCCCTTCATATCATGAATTTTGCCAATATGTATTTTTCAGTAATGCTTTATGGCATGTATGGTTTATCTATTAGATCTTATTGTTCACTATAACTTATAGCTAGACACTGGAAGACCTCTAATCTCTTCCATAAATCCCGTTTGATTGACCAAATCCTGTTTGATTGACCAAATTACATTCCAATTAACAATGGAAAAAGATATTATAACCAATACGACTGTTTGTTCAAAACAAAGAGTATGGTATTCTAACTGGCTTCAAAAACTCTCCAATATTTAATTGCAATATATTTCTGGTTTAGTGGGTTTTTTTGTTTTTTTTTACTACAGTCATGGACATTCCTATGTGGGTCATGTGTTTCCAAACACATAAAAATACATAATAATTACGGTTTCAAATGGGTGGGTTTTTTTGTACTGTTACATGGTAATAAGCTTTGTATCTACTAGGCTTTGATATATTATTAGGAATTCCCTTCTGCTCTGTATAGGTGGTGGTTAACCTTTTTTGTCTTGTTCTAGTCTTTGTTTATATTCGATT